GGATCCGATAAGGTACCCCCCCCCAAAAGGAACTACAATGGAGACTCTAGGTAAGCCTGCAATTCCCGAAGGACCTAGGCCCCTAAACCCTAGCATCAACCCAAACAATCTTCAGCCTTGCCATAGCTTACATAGTCTCAGGGGCTCCGGAAACAACCGCTAAATCGAGTTTGGGTTGAAGGTTAAGGGTGTTTAGGTTATAGGTTTTAGGCTTTAGGGTTTAGAGGATTATGAGGTTTAAGGTTTAGGCTCTAATTCATGGGCCGTGGGTTTCGGGTTTAGGCTTTATTGCCTGGGGGACCCCGTTTGTACGGGTTCAGGGTTCGGCTTTGGGGGTCTGACTGTTGATATCAAACCCTAAACCCTAAACCCTAAACCCACTGCTTTTTAATGGCGATATTACGATTCAAAACCCGATGATTTGAGACCCCGTCACTTCTGGATGAGAGTCCCATGATGTTCTGCGCAGCACTCCTTCTACGAGAGGCAGAAGCGCTCACCCCTGAAGATCGCGAACACCTACCACGCTGCAGCCGCCGCATCGCGGACCCTGAAAGCCCTCGGCTCGGCACTAAACACCTACCGTCAAGCCCTGAAATCCATATGGGTGGCTGTCAAAATGATGGTCCCTTTTTGGGTCAGTAATATAATACGGCAACTAATATTTAGGGTATTCAAAAAGGGACCCTAATTTTGACAACCACCCATATAGAGAATGCAACTTCCCTTCTCTGAGAACATGTAGCCCAAACCTTTGAGCTCAGTAATACGCAACCATGAACCCCACAATCAGCCCGAGGCACCGGAACATAAAGTGCTCCACATCGCCCCCCTCCATGTACTCTGTCACAACAATGGGGTCCTCGTATGCAAGCTTGAGCAAAGAAGGGGTATGAAACCCTAAACCCCTAACCCCAGACCCTAATGTTCTCCCTAAACCCCTAAACCCCTAAACCCTAAGCCCTGAACCCCTAAAAGCCCTGAGCCCCTAAACCCTCAAACCCTCCCTAATTCTGAGGAACACAAGGCTCTCAAACCTCGGACCTTCCAACCTATGGGCTGAAAAGCTTCCATACGAAAAGTTAAGACAGACGCTGACAACATAAACTGAGTTACGACAACAACTGACAAACCAAATCAAGTCAAACAGATGCAAACCAAGATTCCAAGACAGCAAAATCAATGCTGTTATAATTCATGACATTCAGACTTCAAAACATTAGTAAGGATGAACGATCTGAAACGGCTGTAATCATCTGAACAAGCTGTAAAAGATGTTAACAACCATCTGCGAAGGTGTTTTTTTTCCAGTTGTCGGGTTAATGGGGGGCGGAAGGAGGGGACGCCCTCGAGGAATTCCGATGGCGGAGACACACGGGAAACGGTGGCGAATGATTGAAAATTTTGAAGCATTCAACAAAAAATCAGTAAGACTTTCTCGATGTCTTGCCGCAATGCTACTCATGTCTTCTGGGATTCAATAAGAATATTATGAGCGTGAAGAAGACTTCATAAGATTCAACAAAGCTCAGTGAAGTTCTGCCAGGGTCATGCCACATTTGGAGTCATGTCTTCTAAGGTTCAACCCGATTCATTAACAAATGCAAGGAGATGCAATAAGATTTGATACTACTGCTACCGCTACACCACTACTACTACTACTACTACTACTACTACTACTGCTACTACTGCCACCACTGCTACTATACTACTACCACTACTACCACTACTACCACTACTACCACTACTACCACTACTACCACTACTACCACTACCACCACTACTACCACTACTACCACTACCACTGCCACTACCACTACCACTACCACTACTACTACTA